CGACCAGCCCCCCATTGTGGCTTGGGCGGTCCTCCAGGGGACGGCCCTGTTTCCACTTGATAGTTGTGAGCTCCGCCCTTTGTTTCGAAGTTCACGTATGAGCTCCCCTTCCTGCCCGAAGAAGTGCTAGGAGCTGATGGTGTGCTCTTACTTGGAGGTTTCGTCCGGTGCTTCCGTTCGCTTGCTCGGATGTCCTCCTCAAGCTTGATGAATCCAGAAGCTCGATGGAGAGCATCTTGGATTGTCGGTGGTGGGTTGAGCGTCATCTCCTCGCGGAAACAAGACTCGTACCACAATGACCTCTTTAGGGCCTCAAGTGCGGATCTGTCGCTCACTCCGTCGATTTTTGAGACTACAGCCTTGAACCGATCTATGAATTTCTTCAAAGATTCGGTCTGGCCTTGAGTGATCGACCAGAGATCAGCGTCTGAGGTCTCTTGGGTGATGTACATGGAGTATTGTTTGAGGAAAGCCTTGGACAACTGTGAGAAGTTGTCGATGGAATCCCTTTCGAGTTTTGAGAACCACTCGAGGGCGTCATCCTTGAGGTTCTCGACGAACAGGAGGCAGTAACCTGCGTCCTCTTCTTCTTTTCTGAACCTCGCGCGTCCCATGGCGATCCTAAACGATGTTAGGTGCGCCTTAGGATCAGTGGTTCCATTGTAAGGTTTGATCTTAACCTTTCCGGGATCCGAAAGCCTAGTTTGGGTGACTCGGTCCGTGAAAGGAGTTTTCTGAGCCTCTTCGAGGACACGCTCGATTTCTGGGGCATCGCTGGTCACTCGATGGACTTGAGACTTCATTCTCTTCATCTCATCGGCTGTTTGGTTCAGCTTTCTACGCAACTCATCGAATTGGCTTTCGCCAATTGCCCGCTGGAAATCGCCATCGTGTGCTCGATGAGCCTCCTCACGTTCTCGCAAGATTGCGAGTTCTTCTTCGGTAAGATCCTCTTCACGGTCTGAGAGATCAACCACATCGTCGGATCGAGAGTTGTTGTTCTGACCCTCGGAATTAGGGTTTCCCTCAGCGCGTGTTTCAGTGTCTACCGTGCTTGTTGTTGGTGCGTCCAAAAGGGGCCGCAACAATGGTGGAGCAGTAGGGTTGATCCTGCGAGAGGATGGAGTTCGGAAAGAACTTCCCCGCGGATCACGCCTCAAAGTTCCTGAGCCAACAGGAGTAGCGAAATCGAGACGCTTTCTCAAAAGAGAAGCTCTGGATTCCTTTTCCTTACGGAGATTCTCGACTTGTTGGGTCAAGGTCTCGGTAAGTTTCTCTTGCTCTTGGTTTCTTTTCTCAAGAGCCAAGACAGAGGATCGGAGCTCAGCTATGGTAGCGTCGGCCGCTTTTCCTCCATCTGGATGCAGAGTTAGGGGTTCGTCTCCGGACATGGGTTCTAGGGTTTTTCGACCTAGGGTTTTCGCTTTCAAGAGTAAAGATTTCTCGAGCCCCCTCCTTCTAGCGCCAAATTGTGGGAACCGAAATCCACCGCAACGTAAAATAGGAAAGTTTGATTTGCGAGGAACCGAGAATCTTGGGGAGAAAACGAAAAGCTAAGTGAAAAGAGATCGAAAAAGGAAACTAGGGCTAAAAGAGAACGAACTTTAAAAGAGAAGAAGGAAATTGCGTATTGTATTGATATTGGGAATGTTTCGAATAATCCGAATCCTCTTACAAGAGAGGATATCGATCCTTATTTATACTAAAACATCCTAAGTCCTAAACCACCTAACTTTCGATGTGGGACTAAGGTCTTTTCCTTTTTCCGCCGACTTTTCCATAAATCTTCGAGTAAGCTCCAGAACCTTCCGTAAGTCGGTGTCTTCCTCCCAGCTCGGCCCAAATATGTCCTTCATTCTTCGGTTTAGCGGTTTTCCTCAGTTTAGTTTAAGTTATCGCGATGTTTCGAGAAGTTTACGAAAACATCGGTATTTTCGCGGAAAGACTTGACGAAGAACGAAGTGAAATCATACGAAATTGAAGATGACAAGTAGCTCGGCATTTCTTGATGGCCAGCCATGCCGAGCTACTTGCTTCCCATCCAGCTGTGCGTTTAGCTCAGCATTTAGTCGAGGAGGAAGTCCTCCGACTGTCCGCGGAACGCGTTTAGCTCAGCATTTTGAGGTGCGGAGACCATGGAACATGCTTTACAAGTAGCTCCGCATTTGAAAGTGAGCAAGTAGCTCGGCATTTTTGTTTGGGCAAAATGCCTAGCTACTTGTCATGCCTAGCTACTTGTAATTTGCTTCCCACGGCTGTTCGGTTCGGTACGCTTCAGCATGAACGGGACAGACCTTACAAGTAGCTCGGCATCTTTGATTGAGCAAGTAGCTCGGCATTTTTGGTTGGACAAAATGCCTAGCTACTTGTCATGCCTAGCTACTTGTAATCCGTCCATCTTCCGCTGTCCGGTTCGGTACGTTTCAGCACGAACAGGACAGTCTTTACAAGTAGCTCGGCATTTCAAGCTGTGCAAGTAGCTCGGCATTTTTGGTTGGACAAAATGCCTAGCTACTTGTCATGCCTAGCTACTTGTAATTTGTTCAAAGAATCGCGATTCTTCCGATTTTTCGGTTTATCGGAAAAATCGCTCAAAGAGTCGAAACGATTAGCTCGGCACGTAAGTAGACAACATGTAGCTCGGCATGAATGGTGATGGAAAATGCCGAGCTACTTGTCTCCTTGTGCCGAGCTACTTGTATTTTTCCCGGAAAATTGCAACTTTCGTCGGTTAATCGGAAGAATCTCCCGAAAGACGAAATGGTCGGCTTAGCACAAAGGGAATGTGCATGTAGCTCGGCATTTTTGGGCAAGCCAGATGCCGAGCTACTTGTCTTCGCTTTGGCCCTGCTAATCGTCTTTCGTTCAATAAATCGCGACTTTTTCGGTTTATCGAAAAAATCCCTTCCAGGAGGCGGAACGAGTAGCTCGGCATGGAAGGAGAGCAAGTAGCTCGGCATTTTGTGGTGACAGTGCATGCCGAGCTACTTGTTTGTGCTCTCTCCTTCCTTGCCTCGCCAGTTGGTTCCTGCTCGAAGAATCGCGACTTTTATCGGTTTGTCGATAAAACCTTTCGAAAAACAGTTTTAACGATAAAAACAATTCAAGAGAATTATTTTTCCGAATTTCTTATTCAAATATGGAAACTTTTTCCGATATTCAAATATTTTAGTCGTTAATTCCGGAAATGTGGGTTTTGACCCCAACAAGAAACACCTTACTTTTAGCTTCTTGCGGATGTTATTTGTGTTGTTGTACCTTTGTAAGACTTATTTGTGTTTGTAAGAGATATTTTTTGGTACAACAGGTTCAAATAAGTAGTTCATGTGTGTCAGGAAACAAATAGTTCTAGTTGTCCTACTATTACCATTGAAGTAGTACGAGTGGTCTTAATATTACCAATAAAGTAGTCCAAGCAGTCCTAATATTACCACACAAGTAGTACTAGTTGTCTTAATATTACCAATCCAGTACTTCTAGTTGTCCTACTATTTGATATGATCATGGATGAGGAGCTTAAACCAGTGCTTGAACCGGATGAAGAAGAGCTTGTAGCTGAGGATTCTCAAGGAGCTAAGGACGTGCTTGAAGTGCCAAAATGACCTATGACTCGATCCAGAGCCAAGCTATTCAGCCAAGCCATTGGAGCATTGTTAAGACGCTTGAGTAGGAGTGACGAAGAACCGATCAAAACCACCTTGGTCGTGTTGCAAGCTCAAGTGCATCAATGAATGGACAAGTGCTGCTTCAAGTACTCTTTTTCCCTTGCTTTGGTTTTGTCCCACTGGGTTTTCCAAAGAAAGTTTTTAATGAGGCTTGGGCATCACTTCACATCATCCATTCATTTATCAAAGGCCGTATTCAGGAAGACCTTCATGATTCGGGAAGCTTTACTCATCTTTAGGAAGGCCTACCTAAGTCCGTACTTAGACACCTTTTTAATAAGTCAAACGTGTACTTTTAAATTTGAATTTAGTCTTTGTGTGTTTAATGTGGTCAAGTCTTGGAGCCTGTTCCAAGACTTGTTCGATTTCCCACATTTCTTCTTTCTTTCTCTTTATATTCTCTTGTAACTTCATTTGAGAAATCAATCTATCTTTTTTTAATCAAAATCTCTTTTAAAGTATAGATTCAATCTTGTTGGTGTGTCATATCCAGCAAAACCCTTAGTTTCTCTTTGGTGTGTCATATCCAATCTGAGACTAAGCCACGGTTTCAAGGACTATTCCGCAAGTTCTTGGTTCAAACCATTCGATCAGCACTTGTTTCCATCATCACGGCTTCACAGCCAAAGTTATCATCAACGACTCAACCTCACAGAGTGACGATCTCAGGGAGGATCTTATTACTATTACCATCACAACAGTACTAATCGTCCTAATATTATCCATTGACTGTATTGTTACAAAAAATAATGTAAAATTACATTTGTAAACATTATTCCACACCAAATAGGCCATTAAAACATCAGAATTTGACATAAACTACATAAAATAAATTTGAATTTTTGGAATTGGTTACATGATTATCTTATATGTACATGAATTGCCTTATACTTCTAAGGTTTGTTTAAGAAAATTATTCACACTAATATGACCAATGAGTGAAAATAATCTTTTTAAAAATTTTTATGGTCTGGGATTATGTGAAATGTAGTTTTTATAGTAAATATTCTAAGTACTACTAAAATTTTAAATATAAAGTATGGTACTACTGATTAAACTTTAAAAACCCCCAAAGTACAACTCTTTAGAAAAAATACAACTACAAAACTGATACTATTACGTGACGAAAAGGCGGTGCACGTGACCATTTGTCAGCGCGCACGTTTTTAATTCATTTGTCGGCAAGCACGTTTTTAATTCAGTTAAAATTTGACTAGTTGTACTATTATTGCTAGTGGTTTCAATTCTTTAAGATAGTTGTACCAATATTTCTAGTTAGACCTAAAATTCAACATATAATAATATAAATAAAATTCAACACATAACTTAAATAACACAATTTACTCTTAAAAACAAACCACAACACAAAATAGTCTTAAAACATTTAACAAAATACTCTAAAAAACATGTAACTCACTTATGAACATAAATAGTCTTTAATCTATAAGAAACCTTTTTACCCCTCTTTGGCCTAGGAGATTTAGCTTTCTCAATCCATTTCTTCACCATCTTCGTGATTCTAGGACATTATTGTCGCGTTTTCGGGAGCGGTTGATTTGGGTAACCTTACAAAAAAAAGATCATTAAGTTTTATGAAAATTAAAAAAATGTCATAATGTAAAAATGAACCATTTCTTACCAAAGATTTCATCTGTAATCTTCTTCTCTTTAGCTAGAGAAGCCTCCTTCTCCTCACCTACTCCTTTAGCCTCCTCCTCCTCCTCCTCCTCCTCCTTCTCCTCACCTTCTCATTTAGCCTCCTCCTCCTTCTCCTTCTCTTCACCATTAGTACAATTTTGCCTATATCTCCAAAATAATCTCAAATTGCTACCAAATTCAACAATTCAAGACATTAATATCCATATATAATTCATATACTATTAATACAAATATGTCTGATTTAACTAATTTTAAATTTTTTTAATTTAGTTCACTAATATATATAAGCTTTTTAATATGTTTATAAATGTTCTATAGCCTATTTCATATGAAAATTTCGAATAAAGAAAAAGTTGAGTGCAACCCACTTTTGGTTGGTTTTAGATAGTAAATAACTAAAACCATCGAGGGTATAAGTGAGTTTTATTTCTTTTTTTATTAATAAAAAACAACCTAATCCTTCAAACGGAACTCTTCACCTAACCCTTAGGAAGATTTTGACACAAGCCTCCGGCATCCTTAATCACGAGGTCACCTCGAAGATTCTCTTCCCACAACAAACATGCAGCCCAACCCACTTCTCTAGGTCCACCTTTTCTGGAACCTAGACTCTGATACCACTGTGGGGCTTTTTTAAAGCTATGTCCAATTCTGTCCATTAGTATGATATTGTCCACTTAGGGCCCAAGTGGCAAAGCCCACACGGATTTGCTTTTGGGCTCATTCCCAAAAGCCCTCATACTAATCAGAGTTGAACACTACTTATATATTTGACACTTTATGTCTAAACTTCCGATGTGGGACTTGGATTGTATCCCAACAGCTACTAGAGCTTGATCTTTAGGGCTATAACTCAATAATTCTCCACCTAGCCGTAACAGATCGAAGTAGCCTTACCTGAGAAATGAGATAGATAGCTGATCTAGTATCCGGATTCCACTCTCGGTGCCTGAGCTTTCCTTACTCAGACTTCACTCTCAGTAAGTTCAGAGCTGATTTAACTTACTGATTGGAAGTATCTTGGTGAAAATATCAGCAGGATTCCTCAATGTTGATATCTTCGAAAC